CCAACACCACTGCCTAAGCGGGGCAGTGGGAATACTCCTGTTGGGTACCGCTGCTGGCTTGGGTCACATTGTCTCTTATGCACCTTGCTGGGAGATTATGCCAAGCTTAGCAGCTGGCTTTTCTTCGCCAGGAACAAGGAATAGCAATCTGCAGACTGATGCTAGTGAGAGCAGTGTTTTATGTTGGAATATCCCTTCCCTCGTGTTGCCCCTTGAGCTGACACCACAGCAGCAAATAGCTGCTGCCTGGAGACGACTTGTAACCCCAGCAGCCTGAAGCACTCCAGCCCCTGTAACAGAGCTGGCGAGTCAGGTAATCCCCACTGCTGAAATACAGCTTGTCCCTCCAAGGAAACCTCCCTCCTCCAATAAATCAGGGTTGGGACATTTGCACCAATCTGATAATTCCCTGGTCCTGGGAACAGGGGTGGTTATAGGTATAGGCAAGCCCTGCTGTGCAACTCTACCTGTTGTGACACAGCCCCAGGGAGGTTCCTGCAGGGACAGGGGGACCTGCCTTCTTCAGCAGCGGTCTCAATGGCAAATGGCTACTGTCAGGGAGTGGGCACCCACAGAACTTGGGCTCATTCCCTTTCTCTATGGAAAGTATTTTCAATGTGGAAGCATGAGAGGAAGGCATCGCCCATGATCTCAAGAGCATTAAAGAGGTGCATGGAGACCACAAGGGAGAGGTCCCTGGGCACAGCCTACCCATTGGGGCAGGTGGCTGGGGCTGAGCCATGCACAGGTCCCTGCATCAGCCAAAGAGGAGGGTTTCCTGGCACAGAGGTGCTCTTTGCTTACTGTCGTTTAATGGTGGGGTGAGTCAATATCCCTGACTTTGAGGAGCCTGTCCTTGAGGCTTTCCTCTCACAGCCAGAACGATTTCACACTCACCTGCAGAGGGAGACTGCTCCTCTTTATTAGCCAAATTTTGTTGATACAGTTTGGTGCCACCACCTTACCAGGCTAGTAAAAACAGCCGTGGACCTGATGTGGCCCACAAACAGGCTCTCCAGTAAGGATGCTGCCAGAGGGACATGTGAGGACCCTCCTGCATACAAAACCGCTGGGATGAAGCAGCAGTAGCTTATTAGCTGTTTGCAAAGTCCTGCAGGAGAGCAGCATCTGAGGCAGTGCCAGGCCCTGCTGTGTGCTTCAGCACTGGTAGAGCTGCCGATGCTGGGCTGAGAGAGGGGTTGCAACAGGACTGGTGTGAGCATGCCGCTTCACCCCTTCCCTGTCACCAGCAAGGAGCTGCTCCCAGCAGAGGTGCGGTCCCCAGCCCAGAGTTTGGGCAGAGCTGCATGGCCAGCATCTGGAAAACACACTAATTTGCAAATCCTGGGTGTCTCAAACGCCAGGCTGGCTCCCGCTCGCAGGGCTGCCGTGCCTTACATGTAGAGCAGGTTTGCAAGGAGCTGCTGGGGCTGGGCAAACCTGAAAAGCTGGCTCATGTGCTCCCTGAACACTTCCTTGCCCACAGAGCCACTCAGGACCCTTGCAGGGAGCTTTGCAAGCAGGAGCGATAGAGCTGGTGTTTCGGCAGCCCGCTCGAGCTCCCCTGTGCTTTGCCCAGAGCCAGACGGAGGTGCAGAAGCCAGGTTTGCCCTGCACAGGGCTCAGCTGGGGTTGCAGCTCCTGAGGGAGCTTCTTCAGCGCTCTGAAAAGTATTGACTTATGTCCTACTTTTCCTTGTTAGGGGAAAGGCTTGTTCACTACTTGCTGCCTCATAAACCACAGTTTCAATTTCTTAAGTTATGCCACAGCCCCACCTGCCCACCTCAGTGCCTGTGACAGGGGATGACACACAGTGACTGAGAGGCACCTTGCCCAGAGATTGGGCACTGAGCTGAAGGCAGAGCTGCCTGGAGGATAAAGCTCACCTACATCCCTTCCCCCACCAAGGCTTTTAATGTGTGACACTACTCATTATTTATAATTGAACATAATAACTAGCTTAAGGCTCTATTATACTTTCCTTCTGTATTCAGTACTGAAAGAATAACAAGGACAAAAGTGAAGAGAGAAAGCTACACTTTTATTAGGAAGAGAGAAGATTTACAGAGGACAGGAATAATGCTGGAAAATCTAGAGGAGTCCTCATTTTTAAAGAGTATATCCAAATACTTCCAGAACACACCCCGTCCCCATAACTCAAAGAATGGCTCCTGACAGCTTCCAAGCCTGTACACAGCTTTTCCTGGGGGAGACTTCACTTCAGGGATGCTTTTTGAACATCCGCTTCTTACTCACAGGATCCTTGGGCAGGTTTGCTCTTTACTCCATTAAAAGAAGTACTCACCAAATTGTTGAATGATTTTTTAAATACACTATATATATTTGGACTCCCTGGAGAGACATGCCTCCTAACTCTGCTCTGCATTTGGAAATGAAAATAGTCATGAAAAGCTCGAGGAGTTAAGGACATGTCTGATAGGAGACAACATGCTAATGCTGCATGTGGTGCTGGCTTTAACTTCTTTCTGAAATTGTGAGCAGCAAGAAGACAGCATCCTCAGTAAGCTGGAAAATAGACTCATGTTTTTGTAAGCCCACACAGGCTCCTTGGGTCTCAGATGTTTCTCTCTGCTCTTTTGCTTGCAAGAAAAACAACATGCACTCTGGCCCCATCAGGCCATGGTGCCCCCATTTCCTCTCTGTCACCAGCACTGGTGATCCACATCTGGCCTGGAGGATTTCACCAGGCAAAGCTGAAGCTGGTACCCTCTCCTGCAGCTCCACTATGTCCAGAGATGACTGATGTGGGGAACAGCCAAACTGAAGCAGCCCCTCGCCTCCACTGTGTTTTGCTACATGGCTGGGCTGCAGGGGATGGAGACAAGCCACTCAGCTGGAGCATCAGTTTGCAAACATGGTGCGTTTGTCCTCTCACTCCTTGTTCTTCAAGTTCAAAGCAAGCCAACTCTGTCATCAAGCCACAAGCTTCCCAGCTCACTTGCTATACTCAGCCTAATCTAAATAGCCAAACTCTCACATAGGCAGCAGCAACCATCTCCTTCTTCCACCCCAGAGATGACAAAGAACTGAGCAAAATGCCCTACCTCCACCCCATGTCCACACTCATCTGCTAACAGATTATAACAAAGCTGCCACAGGGCAACTGGCAATGGACAGATATGCCACAAAACTTGTACCCATACCTTTTTTCCTCCCAAAAAAATCCCAAACCCCATCAACCTTTGAATTTCAATCCACAAGCAGAAAGGTACCAGGTACCCAGTTTCTGCCACTTATCTACAACCCCCTCTTTTCCCTTACTACCTATTTGTTCACAGGTCACCTTGCTCTGATGTCCCCCCACCCCCACTGGAGACAATTAGACTCCACATTCTGGGCTCCATGGGCATAAAGCTACAGGGGACTGCTACAGAACAAGACCATTGGGTTGCAAAGCCCACCGCTAACCATGGCCAGGCTTGTGCATCCCAGGAGGCAGCAAGAAACTCCAGGAAGAACAATTTCTGCCACAGAATAGTTACAAGTCCTAGCTCTTCTCATGAATCCCTGATGGCAAATGAGATTCTCATCCAGCACCTTCTTCACCACAGCCCCTCTGCAAGCTGAGGGTTAGGGAGGGAAGGCAGCACTGCTGGGACTCAGAGGAGCCACCGAGTCGGAGCTTGGCACTGTCCCAACCCAGAGTGTCCCAGGAGCCCAGCCAAACTGCTGTTTGCTAGGTTACACATAACATGCCTTTCATCTGGAAAGGGAAACACGTGCAATAGCAAGCAAGAGCAGAACCTGGAAACACCAGTGAGAGCAGCTGTGGCAATGATGTTACTCTGCAGCTGGGGCCAGCACTGTGATGAGCCCTTGACCCTCAGGATGGGGTATTGCCACTTGGACCATCAGCCAGCACTGCAGGTGGGTTGTGCAATTGCACCCAAGTACAGGTTTGCCTTAGAACCCAGGGTGAGTAGAAATACAGGGCTATCACTCTATACCATGTCCCCAAGTGGGGCAACAGTATGCCTGTTCACATTGAAATGAGCAGGTGTCTCTGTTTTCTTCAGCAAGAGCAGAGCTTGTTGCTTCTACAAATGTGCTGTATGGCCCATTGCCTGTGACCAATCTCCAAGGTACCAGGTGCTCTTCCCATGGTCCTGGCACTTGCAACTATTACAAATTCTTCTTTTATCACAGGTTTGAAGACTCCATGGACATGGGTGTGTGTCACATGCTGGTACAGGAGGAAAGGCACTGCCTGAAGCCCTGTGGGAAAACCAAAACGAGTTGCTAACAGAGGTTTGTAGGGATCCAGTGGTACATGGAAACCACAGCAGCAGTGACAAGAAGAAAAAGCACTTTAATCTTGCTTGAACAACGTCCTGAGAGAACCGCCACAGAGGGGAAAGAACATATTTTTATTTAAAAAATAATAATTTAGCTCAAACATAGACAGGATTGCAGAGGGTTGGTGGAAGCAGGAAGAACAATATTCACCCACAGAAATTAAAACAGACTGATTTAATTCTCTTGTAGATGATACTTTCAGTGTCCTTCCCTGTCCACAGCTCTGCTTCAGGTCTTCACCTGCACAGAAAGGAATCCCAGCTCCCGGGGCTCTTGGTAACAAGGCAGAGGAGAAACAGTGTCTGTCACACATGAAATGCTACTCCTACCTCCAGAGCCTCCATGGAGATCCAAAAAAGCCAGAAGAGCAACACCAGCATCTAAACCAACGTGTAATAGAAAGGGAACAACTTGCACTCCTCCCTGGAAGTCTACCTACCCATGCCCCACTCCCAGCGTCCTGCCCAAGTGCTTCCACCCACGCCTGAATTCACACCCCCACCCACAGGTGCTGTACACAGAGGTGTACACGCTGGACTTTGCAGGACTCCTCCCTCCCCCCCCTCTGCTCATCCAGACCTGCTGATCTTTCACCTCTCTCCATGCCTGCGTGCTGTACATTTCTTGGCACAGCAGCAGTTTGTTTCACAGTGATGGGATGTGCCCTGGAACACGCTGAGCCACTACTGCAATTTCTTCTCTTCTGTGAAGTGGCCTTTCACGCAATTGCCATTCTGATACACAGGACTGGCCCCCTTCCTTCTGCACCACACCACAGATTTGTAGATGACAAATCCAATACCAGCCAGACACAGCAAGAGAAGAGCCAAGATGTCCAGGCAGAAGTACTCATACAAGGAGAGGTCATAGACAGCAGGGCGAAGAAAGGGTGCCCCATCGTGACGAAGGATGTACTCAAGCCAGTACACTGTCCTGTTGAGAGCATGCATTGGTCTGTCCAGGTGCAAAGCTGAGATGAGCTTGGCCGCTTTCTTGTAGCTGCAAGGGAAGAAGACAAGAAATTATCCTTCTGACAGGAGCTTCATAGCCAAGAACTCCAGTGGTGCTTTCAAGTCCCAAATGGTACCTTGGGAGAGCAGCAAATGTCTTCCTATCTGCCTCTGAAAACCACTCTGATAGCAATCCTTAGCCATGGCAGCACAAGCCAGAGTGCGCTGTACTTTGTGTGTTGTTAACAAGACCAGCAGCTCAGCTCCCAAGTCCCTGCTCAGTGTGTCCATGTGGATTGTTGCTTTCTGAGGGGAGTTTGCACCCAAAGACCTCACCCAGTATCAAACAGCAGCTGCACACTTGACTGGCCAAATCCTTGCAACACCTTAACAACTTACACCGAGGTCAGTAGTTGAGAACTCCTAATAGCTAACACACACACACACACACACACACACAAGAAAAAAAAAAAAAAAAAAGCAGATCTCTGACAGTATTTTCAACACTAGCAGTTGCATATATCCTGTTAGAAAGTGGGAGTCCTGTGTCCCTGTGCTGGAGCAGGAAAGGAAAAGTACCTGGTCGCCAGACTACTTGCAGTTCACTGCCCATGCCAACTGCTTCTGCAGAAAGCTGTTTGGACAAGAGCGGAGAGATCCCAAGTTGAGGCTGTAATCTCACTTTCCCTGATGACAGGCTGGCATTAAAAGGAGAATAGGCTTGTGTCTCAGCATCTCAGAAAGCTTTCTAAGAAAATTACAGCCAGAACCAAACAGGACTAGATTATGCTCTCTAACAGCAGGTGCTCGAGTATCTCTTCCTGGACCACATCTTAGGATCTCGAGGCACAACACATCTGGCCAGCTGAGCAATGCTTGCAACTCTTCTTGGTCTAGAAGCCACCACAGGCTGTGGAGGGAGGGGTCAGCCCAAAGACACATTGGTACCTACTTACAGTTTACACCAAGGAAGAGCTCAATGCTTCCAGATGCCTCACCTGGGGTCAGAGATAACTGTGACGACAGCCTGGTAAAGATCCTCTTCTTTTACTCTGCTCCAATCCATGAGGATACCCATGCCCTTCGCCTGCACTCTGGTCATGATGTCAAACTGGTCTCCATAGAAAGGAAATCCCACCACTGGCACACCGTGATAAATTGCTTCAAATACACCATTCATCCCGCAGTGGCTGACAAAGGCTCTCACATTGGGATGGCCTGCAGGCAAAAAAAAAGAGGCAGCAGGTCAGTGCCTTGCATGCAGAAACAGGGCTACCGGTGGCTTCCTCAACACACACTGTTGACGTACGTTTAGGGAAAACCAAGCATGCTGAGCAGAGAGGATGTTACCCTTTGGGAACACACCCAGCTTTTGGCAGCCCAAAACTTGCCTCCTTGGAGAAGGGCGATAGGGGCCAACATGTGGTTTTAAGCAGGTGTTATGTGAGGACCATGTTTTGTACAGATCAGACTCACAACACGCAACAGACTTAGACCCACACAGGTGCTGCTGTCCTTGGGTGCCTCTGCTGTGGTTTTGGCTAAACTCCAGGGATGTTGCTAGCAACACACACACAGCCCAGCCTCACCTAGCAGGTCATTCTGGGGCAGCCACTCCATCATCAGTGTATTCTCACCCAGGCTTCTTGGCTTCTGCCCAAAGTATCTGTGGGAGGAAATAAAGGAGGGGGGAAAAAGGGAAAAGAAATACACAGAGAACAATTATAAATTCGGTCAGATCAAGAGCTGGAATGCAAATTCTGTGTTTTAAGATGAATCACCCCTCAACATTGATTTTCATCCAACTGAAGTTAAAAGGAATGCCATTCCCTCCTCACCTCCACACCACCCTCTGCGGGAGGCGAGCAAATGCGCCAGCCATCTTCTCCACCATTTAGCTCGGATCCCAATGCCAAAGGAAACAACAACAACACCAGCATCTGCTGCTTCTACCCAGAGACGGAGACCCTGTGGGCAAAGCACACACAGCTGCCTTGAAGTCTTGTTGGAGAAAGGCTCTTCCACTGTTGCCTCTGCCAGTAGAAAACTATATGGAGAGGATGAAGCCAAATCCACCTGGAGCACAAAGCTATGTGGTTTTGACCAGGCAACCACCTCTAAAACCACTGTGATTTCTGCAGCCAGCCAGGCTGAAATTACTTGAGCACCTGCTGGGCTTGGCAGCTTGCAGAGAGGTGTCCAAAACTTGCATTCCATAGCATTACCTCCTGCTTTGGATGTAACACAACTACTCTTTGGCAAGGAGGGTTCTGAAAACATAGGGTCCACATAGGAGCAGCCAGAGCAGTGAAGGAAATTGGAGTAAAAAGAAGGCAACTATTTTCCATCACCACTAAGGCAGGAGGCCTGTCAGGGTGTCTAGCTGAAGGCTGATAAAACAGATGAAACATTGTGTAGGCAGAGCGGGGAACAACATCTTGCTGGAGATTCTCCACAAACTCTCCAATATTGAAGGCTCCTAGAGGTGGCAGAAGGTTTTGCCATCTTACCAGGAGACTTTACCCATCCTTGACAGCTACTTGCAGGTAGCAGATTTAGTGTTTGGCCATTAGGCAGGGAGGTAGCTTCAGTTCCAGGAAAAATCAAAGGTGTTTGTCCTTCATTCAGAGGCTACTTGCAATGCTACAGAAACTGGTGTGTGTCTAGAATAGAGTCCTTACTCTTTTTGACTGGGGCCAGAAGGCTGCAGGAAGAAGAAATCAACCACCACAACTGCTGTGGAGCAAACACAGACTATTCCCTTTTATGCCAGGCTGAGCTGAGCCTATTTTTCATTATGGATTCTGTCCTGCTTTGGGTTTTTCATGTATCACCATCAGGAGCATTTCAGGGAAGTTTCCTAAAATCTTTCTTTGAATATGAACACTTGCTTGAAATAAACACTGTAGAAGAACATGAAGGGAAAAAAAAAAGAAAAAATAGTTCTTAAGGGATAAAAATAGGATGATTGATTCAGAATATCTTAGTAGCAGTAGTCTATAGGGTGAGGGATCATCGTACAGAAGAGTTACAAAGCACATTTTAGTGTTACTTTATGGGGATGTTTGTCCTTTGTTAGATGCTTCAGGGAGTCAAATTTAACTTTGCAGAAGAGCTTAAAAAGCCTTAAAACAAGCCAGCAAACAAGAATCAAAAAGTTTTCACCTAAGACATGGTTTTGCCATTTTCTTGAGTTTCACATCTTTTGAGAAGTACAACCACTAAAACTGCTGAAGAAGTTAAAGTACTAATTTTGCTTTTCTAGATAAAAGTACAATGACTAATAAAACAGACGATTACATTATCCATTATAATTGGGCCTTAACATTTGACTTTTAGAAATAGCATTCAAGTTGCTAGGGAAGCATGGTTGACCACCAAAAGTTCTCACCATCTCTCAGGTTCATATCTATTTTTCACTGTCTCCTAATTAAAGGAACTCACAATCATAGTGTTTCAAATATTAGAAAATAAACACCTTGATTACTGTCCTGGGTTAAGCAGAGACAGAGTTTATTTCTTCATAATAGCTAGCAAGAGGCTGTGTATTGGATTTGTGCTCAGAAGAAAGCTGATAAGAAGTGATGTTTTGTGCTGCTGCCAAGGCTGGCAGACGAGGGAGGAAGCACAGCCGGTTGCTAGCCTAGGATTTGATCTTAGGTTTGGGATTGAGACCCAGAGTGGCCAATAATCTATTCCATAACATACACATCATGCCCAGTATATAGGTGAGGACCCTCTGGAAGATTGTCCCTTTTATTCCGGGTCCCTTTGGTTTCCGGATCTCTCTTGGCTCTGGATCATCTCGCTCCAGGTGGTCGCTCTCTCCAAGGCCTTCCCCCCCCTACCCCGGTCAGCTCTCGGTCTGGGACACTCGGACTGCTATCTCCGTTCCGTGAGTTTCGGGACTCTCCCTGCTCTGGGATCGTTAGCCGGGAACAGGCTCAGCCTTTGGTCATCGGCTGGGGGGGCACTGTGTATCACTCATTTGTATATTTGTATATAGTATTATTTTCAATATTATTGTAGTTTAGTTATTAATTTGTCCTTATCTCAACCCATGAGTCCTTTTTTCCCTTTACGGCTTTAACTCTCTCCCCTATCCTTGCCTGGGGGGGGAGGGGGTGGAGAATTGTGTGAGCAGGTGTGTGGTTTTGGCCCCCAGCCAAGGGCTAACCCATCACAATTACATAACTCTGCTCCAGTTTGGATGGGGGATTCCTTAAGCTACATAGACCTACAGAGGCCCTCTCTTCTGCTGGCGTACCCTAACTTGGCTACACACATGCCTGCCTGCTAGCATGACAGCCCCCGACTACTGCAGGGCTCCAGACTTATCTCCAACATTCTTCCCTTAGGTGCTCTGGGATCAGTTCTGGAAGCTGTGAAGCACATAAGTAATGCCACAGCAAACAACTCCCTTCTTTATAAGGCAGGTGTGTACATGGCCAGATTGGACCAAGCCAGTGTTTTGCAAGACCTGTGAGGCAGCCACTCTCTGACACAGCTTTTGGAGCACCCTACATGTGTTGTATTACCTGCATGCTGTGCCTCATGAGAAAGGGTCATGCGCAGCCATATACATCTGGAGAACTTCTGTTCTAAAGCACCTGACCTCACTTTTTCCTTTTAACTGAAAAAAGGGATTGTAGCAACAGGACAAGGGGTAATGGCTTTAAGCTGAAAGAGAGTAGATTTGGATTAGGTATTAAGAGGAAGTTTTTTACTGTGAGGGTGGCGAGGCACTGGAACAGGTTGCCCAAAGAAGCCCCATCACTGGAGACATTCTATTCCAATATTGCCTTCAGTTGGAGGCTTTAAGAGCTTGTCTCTCTGAATCTATTACTTGAGATATGAGGTAAAGGCTAGAGAAACCCTCTGGGATGACTGGGGAGTTTTCCCTCAGGGCTGGACCTTGAGAAAAAGGGAATGATACACTTCAATTTTGTATGCTTTCACACTGAATTTGATGAGGGAACAAGCATAGTTCCCCTCTATGGGTTCTTAAGACTGCAAGCTCAAGGGCAGAAATGCCCTGAGAGAAATAGGATTAAGGAGAAAATTCTGGATTTATATAAATCAGTGATGAAGTAATGAAGACTGATCATTCTTCCCATTTCCACCTCAAGTACAGGAACAAACAAACTGCTCATGATCAAGTCCCAGAGGCAACACTGACAATTTAGGACTTCCACAGACCATTTTACATGGACAGTGAAGCCAAATCCCACTTCAGGGTGGACAACTTAATTCTACATCCTCTTTGTAGTCTCACAGTCCTCAGCGCTCCCTGTCTCCCTGCCACACCCAGGCAAAAATACAGCAGCTTCCCAGACTCCTGGGGTGTCACAGCATTTACAAGGCTCTTCAAAAGCAGATTTGCACTGAATAACTTCCCAGGTTAATGTGCAATCAGAGCTCAAAGCTTTCCTGCACTTACCACTGGGAGGGGCTTTGCAGGCTCAGCGAGGATACCCCCTGTGAAAATGACATGGGGGAGCGTTGGCCGGGGAAAGTCCAGCACCACATCGTTACAGAGGAAGAAGAGGCTAGTTCCATGGACAAGGTCCAACATGGATGTCTTTGGCTCCACTCTGTGCTTCTCCATGAGACGTTCAAACTTGGGCAGGATGACCAGCTTTGTGGCCACACGAGTGATCATGTAGACCAGGAGATTCCAAGTCCTACCAAAGAAGCCCATCCTGTCTGTCATCAGGGAGTTGAACTCCGGGACATAGGCAATGGGGGAAGTTGCACCAATCTCTGCTGGGAACCAGAAACCAGTGGAGATCACAGCATATTTGACATGGAGAATGTGGGCCAGGATAAAGCCACACATCTCATTGGGGTCCACCAACAACAGGTCAAAGTGCTCATGATGGAGTTTCTGCAGAAGGGTAGAGTTTCCCAGCACTAGGTCACAGTTTTCCAGGTACTTCTCCAGAAAGGAAAACATCTCCAGGGAGGTCATCTTCCCTTGGAAGACACGCTTTATCTTCTCCTGCACCCAGGCATCTGCGCTCTCTGTGCTGAAGATACCCCAGTACTTCTGCACACGGAAGCCGGGCAGGTAGTTTTCCACATTCCGACCCTCGTGAAGAAGCAGCGCGGGGTCATGGCCCCGGTCAGTCAGTGCCTCTGCCACTCGCATGAAGACTCGCAAGTGGCTGTCAAAGACGATGGTGGGCATGATCAGCACCTTGGCACAGTGAGATGACTCCAGACTGAATGCAGCCACTAGGAAGAGAAGAGCAGCAGGACACGGTAGCACCTTCATAATCTTCATCGCTGCAAGAAGAGAAACATGCCATTAATGTAGTATGAAATGCTCTGTCATTTACTTGGGCAACTAACGACTGGGATTGTAGCTGCAAGCCAGAAGCTCATGAGCTGGGAGAGGAGAGCAATCTGGAGTTCATCACTGGAAAACAACAACAACAAAAAACAATAAAGAAAAAAAGCCACAAAAATAAAAAATCCCAAAGTCAAATATCAGGGTGTATTAGGGGAATTTTCCAGAAGTTAGAAACCCCTTCTCTGTGCTCCTAAGGCTCAAAAACTAGCAGACTGACTTGCAGAGAGTTAGAGAGGGAGAGCGGCCAGGGGAGCTCCACCGGGTCACAGCACCAGCAGAGACACTTGCTGCTCAGTCCCCGGTTACCGCTATAAAGCCAGCACAGCTGCATTTCATTTCTATTTCTGCCCAGCCAGGATGCTGAGCACTTGATGTCTGTGCAAGGTCTGGGGAGGCCCAGTCGGAATGCCAAGAGGCACGCTGAGGCTTTAGCCATGGCAAGGCTGACAAGCCACCTTGCTCAGCACAGACAGGGCGGGAGTGAGCCCAGGTCACAGCAGGACCCTCCAAGGGGAACCGCAAACACCGACAGCACAGCAAAGGTCTGGATAGAGAGCTGCTCCACTATGGATCATCTGTGGGAAGATGGAGAGGCTCAGGGGAATGGGCTGGGAAGGGAAAGCAGGCACCAGAACGCTGGTACACTGGAGGAAGCAGCCCCAGAGATAATGTGCAACACCCGTGGCACACTGACACCCCTTAGTCACACTCCTACAGCCGTCATCCCATTTCCAGTTTGGTGAAACACCCAGCATTTCTGTTGCATAAGGGGTGTTGCTACATCACTGGAAGCGAATGCGCTTTACCCACGCCTTACATTATTTTGGGAGGAGAATTACATGATAATTATTTGGGAACAGTCAGAAGCAGTGCCATGTCCTGAAGACCCGATTCAGGTATGCTAGGAAGGGTAGGGGGAAGAAGTTACAACAGCAAAAAGTGGATTTTGGATGGCCCCATACAATGAGCCCCAGGGGGGCTGCAGGGATGTGGTAGAGCAGAATTTGGTCCAAGATTTTCTGCCAGCCTCTCCACTATTGCTCGATCAATTAACAGGCAGGAAAGAAAGTCCCAGAAAAGATCCTGCTAAATACAGTCTTCAGACTCCCCTCATGTTGTGGTTTTGTGTGGTGGGTTTTGTCTGGTAGCAGGGAGGGGCCACAGTAATGGCTCCTGTAAGTAGCTGCTAATGGTTTCCCCTGACTTCAGC